AATTGTTTTTATAATTTAGGAACTTTTATTACAAATAATATAATTCTATAATAATCTATAATCTAATAATTATAATAATAATATTTATAATTTATTTAAAAACAAATATAACACTATGCAAAACATTTGTCTATTAAAATAAAACAAGATATATGTATATTCCTGAACAATTAATTATGTTTTTTATTATGACACTTGTAAAAATTTTTCTCTATGTACTTTTTATTATATCTATTATAATAATAATAAGAAAAAAAAATAAAAGAATAAGACAAATAAAGATGTTTATTTTTATGTTAGTAAGTTCTCACTTTTAAGTATCAAAGCAAGTTGATAAATGATCTTACTCAAGAAGATTGATGAGACAGAAATTTGGTTTCAATTTGTAAACGAGGGTTATACAGACCCAAGCTCCTCCTCGTCTGATGCAGACAAGCTTTAAGCGTCTTTCGTATAAAGAGCAACTAACTCTCTACTCGTTTTGCTGACTACTTGTTGAGTTTCCCGAACGTGTCCTCGCAAATCGAACTAAGCTTTTGTCAACTAAGTTTCACTTTGATCCTTACAATAAGATTAATCTCCTTCTTTACGATTAAAAGTATTCCTTTTTTCTATTTTTTGTTTGTTTAAAAACAAGTAAATCTTTAACTTTCTTATTTCAAGATTTACTGTTAACGAATTGAATAGTAAAAATAAAAAGATATCTTTCAGTACGATAATAATAATTAATTAATAATTAATTGCAAAGATGTATGAGAAAAATAAACATTTAATTTGTTTTATAGTTGATATTGAAAATTGATTATTTATTTTTTCTATTTTATTTTGAGACAAATTAAATCAAGTATCAAATAAATGTAATTTTCAAATTTTCCTTTACTTTACATTTAAAGTAAAAAAATCAAGATTATGTATAATTAGTAACACATATATGGAGTGTATGTATAACGTTAAAGAAAAATGAAGTTATAAATTTTTAATGGTAACATTTATGAGAGTTTAGGTAATATAACCGATAGGCAGATAGCAACTGGTAGTCAAAGTAAACACAAAAGCGATAGATCGTGCTAACATTAGCGTATAAATGCGTGCTTACACGGGTACCATGCTTGTCAGTCAACCCGTTTCATCCCTTAAGCAGTCACTACTCGACACCCTCGATTGAGCACGTGCTAAGTTTAGTCAAGCGTTAGAATGAGAGACAGGAGAGAGAGAGAGAGAGAGAGAGAGAGAGCATGAGAATCAATCCCACGAATTTTAGTTTTCATTCTTGCGTGTCAAATTACCAGAAAATTCGATTATTGAATATAATGTTCATTCATCTATTTATTTATTACAGAAATGAACATTAAATATGATAATTTTAAAATATAATATATATTCGATAATTGTAATTTTATTCATGTATTTAAAATTGCAAGAAATTGTTCTAATATTAAAAAATATTATATTTTTATATTATTATTTGAAAATAAAAATATAATATTGTTTTATTTATATATTTAAAATGGTAAGAAATTTTATTGTATATATACACATATAATATTTTAATATATAATATATATAATAATAATAATATTATATTATATTATATTATTTTATTATATTATTAAATAATATATATATATATTATATTATATTATAATATTATATTATTATATAATATTATTATATAATAATAATATTATATTATATTATATTATATTATATTATATTATATTATATTATATTATATTATATTCATACTATTACCAATAGTAATTTATTCTATAATCTAGTAAATCTATTACCAATAATATAATATATATATATATATATATATATATATATATATATTATATTATATTATAATATTATATTATTNATAATAATAATATTATATTATATTATATTATATTATATTATATTATATTATATTATATTATATTATATTATATTATATTATATTATATTATATTCATACTATTACCAATATAATTTTTTCATATGTTATTATTATATTACGTAAATAACTAAGAAATATATTAATAAAAAATTATAATTAATAAAAAATATATTAGTTAAAAATTTTTAAATATTTGGAAAATAATAATATTATAGCACACAATATTACTAATATCAAAAAAAAATTTATTTTTATATTATAATTGTTAAATAAAGTCAAAATTAATATAAAGTACAATAATTTAACAATTTATTTTTGCAATAAGAGATTATAATTTTTATTTATATATAAAATTTAATATTCCAAACATTCAAATACTATCTATATTATTCTTATTAAATAAAAAATAATTAATATAAAATACAATAATTGAACAATTTTTTTTTTTATATTTATATATTATATATTTAATATTTGAAACATTTAAATACTATTTTAATATATTTAAATTCATATGTTTAATATTATATTATTATATTTATTATTTAACTAGTAATTTAAGAGGTACTTTTAGATAGTATTTTAACTATACTGTTTTATCGTTTGTAGAGTTCGAGAGTCGATTAATACGGTCGAGCATCGATTATAGCACCGATAACTACTTCATAGTACCCTCGTTCAACGATTATTACTTGCTGCTCAACGGGAGCTCAATCGATTTTCTTCCATTAATCACCAACTTGATACTCTACATTTTAAAGTTTTCTATAGATAACACTTAAAAAAGATTTTCCAAATGATTCTCATTTATTGTCTCATTTATATTTAATTATTATTATTATTATTATGTTCATTAAGAAACTCTTGATAATTTTATTTTTTAAATTTATTTTGCAATTTACGTGTATTGATATATTACACGCTTGTTAATTAATTCCATTTATTTATAATATGTTTATTAACCTAATACTTCATTTATTTAATAAATTATTAATAATATTTAACTATATTATATTCCAAAATATATTACGTAATAATATTGTTATTTTGCGCTATATAATCTAATTTATTTATAAAAATATTTTTTCGTTTAAATTTGAAATATTTTCGTAACAAATTTTAATATAATATGTCAAATATAAAAGGGTACGTTAAATTTTATTAAAAGAAAAAATATACTTACCCTTTCCATTTGCAATGATATCATAATTCTATAAAAAGCACAAAAATTCACGTCATTTTAAATCGAGTAAACCCCTAAATAAAATGACCGGACATTCTAAAATATCATCAACATTTCGTTGTAAAAATAAACGCTATCGTTAATAATAATTATCGATGTTCGAAGTATATAATAGAGAAGTGTGCTACGTTTATTATAGAAGTGCTAAAAGTCGACGAGAATGTTACGTGTGTGTTTTAAAAATAATGATCGTAGATAACACGTGCGAAAGCGAATAATATACACCCACACATATATATATATATATATATATATATATATATATATATATACACGTGACATATGTAAAAAAAAAAACTATCATATATATATATATATATCAGAAATGAAAACAAGTAAAAAGGAAATATAAAAGTATCCTTTAATAATATGATAGAAAATAGCAAAGAAAAATATTAGAACGTTAGATTGATGTTTCGTTGAATAAAAAATGAATTTGAAAGATCTACTTTTCTACTCCCACTCAATCCTTTTCAAGTTATAATATACAGGGTGAGTTAAAAATTTGTCGATGGATTTAAAGTTTCACAAATAAAACATTTGTTACGTAGAATACTAAAAAAAATTAGTATTTATTTATTAAAAAGTCTAAAAAAATTAATATTTATTTATTAAAATTTGAAATATGATATAAAATTGATTTGAACAGTGACCAAAAGATTTTTGGTTCAACCTGTACAAATACCTACATATATAGGTAATATAGGAATACACGTACTGATATATGAGAACACGTGTATACACGTTAGGGTGTGCCTACGGGAAATTAAATTAACCTTCTATGCAAACATTAGATGCACGCAATGTAACGGGTGTCGTAGAAATATACACCAACTCTCACTCATTCATTTATATTCTATGTCAACTGTTTTGTTTCAGGATTCCATTTGAGTATATGCACAGCTGCCAAGTTTAATCAAGCTACAACGAGCTTAGACTTCGAACTAACAATAAGACAGCTTGTCAATATCGATCAAAATGTTTTAACGAATAACATGCTTGTTGTCTTATCCGAAAAAAGGAAATAATGGTGTTAGAGTTTTTAAAGATATCGAATTATTATTTTGTTTGCTTTTCCCATTGAAAAATTTATTTGAAATCTTGTTTTACGAAGAATTTTTATTTAATTATAAATATTTGTATTTTAGTGATTTCTTTTTTGATTTTATGCGATGACTCTCTTATCTTATCTATTCAGATTATTATTATTATTATTAGATTTATTCATTTCGTTTGTTTTTTTTTTCTTTTGTAATTCTTTATTACACATTTACTTCGATTATTTATTCAAAATATTTTTTCTAAATATGTAATTATATTTTTATAATTTAATATAAAAAAATATATGTATTTACCATATACTTCAAGAGTAAACTGGGGACACAAAATTAAATGTACAAATTTGATCATTACTTTAATGTTCCATTTATATTGTATCCTTTACTATTTACATTTTTATAAATTTATCAAAGTTTATTTGATTGCTCGAGAAAATTAACTACCTGAAATATTAATTACGTTCTTTCATTTTTTATCTTTATTTTGAAACTATAAATTTGATCAATGGAAAAGATGAAAAAAAAAAACGATATGACCCATAAATGAATTACTTAAATAAAAGAACATTATTAAAAAATGGTTCTATTCATAAAAACAAGTAACATTTTTCATTTATGATAAGTAAATGATACATAATAATATGTTTATTTCAAGATATCTACGTAGTTAAAACTGTAAACATGTTATATAAATAACACATAAACAATTTACTTCTTATTTCGAAATTATATTTATAAATACCACATTATCGCAATACGTAATAAGCTATATGCAGATAAAAAAACACTACGAATATATAAATTGTTGCTCATGAACGACATTTCTATCAGTCTTATTGTTAATTTTCAATTTTGAATACAGTCATTCGATTCTTACTACAGTTATGTCTCAATTTTCGACGATTGTTTTTTTCTTGGGTCTTTTAATACCATGTAAGTTTTATAATAATTTGGTTTTAACCTTTTTTTTATTATTTATATGCATATATTATTTTTATTTCGTATTATATATTTGTTTAATAATTGCTATTATATTTTATTTTTATTTATACTGAATAAAATATTCATATTGTAGTTAAATTATTAAATACTGATCAAATAAATGAAAGTGTTTTGTAATTTTATGTTATTTTTAAATTGAAACCTCGAAATCATGTTCGCATTTAACAAAATTAAATTTGAAATTCTTGAATTTTGACAGACATTTGTTAATTACACGTTTCATATGATACAGATATGGTATTTGCATCTCAATGTGGACCACATGCAAGATTTGATAATTGTGCAAGTCCTTGTGATCCTTCTTGTAAAAATCCCGGTAATGTGCCACAATCATGTGCAGCAGTAAGTAAATTTATCTAAATTTATCCACAAATCTTCTTACTCTACTAATTTTCTTATTTTTAAACGATCATAATTTTTTATTAAATTATTATTTTGATTATAGGTTTGCCAATCTAGGTGTAGATGCATTAGTCCATATATACGTAAAGGCAATCAATGCGTTTTACGAAGTCAATGTTAATCTTGAAAATATTTATTAAACGAAAACTTCCATATGTTGGATTTTTTTTGGTTGTGGTTACATATATGTAAATGTTTAAACATGTGCATTGTATATAAAAAAATGTATATAATTAAAAAGAATGGGTTTATTACATAACTTATAATCCTATTCAAATATTTTGACATTTAATGTGTTCTTATTGTTAAATTTTGAAAAATAATTAGGTGCATTCTGTAAGAATAAAAATAACTTTGTTTAATATTTTTCTAAATTTATATAAATTTTTATAAATAATATATTCCGTTAAATTATGGTTAGTAAATGGCCAACCATATGTTGACCAATGTTTTTAAAATTAAAAGAAAATAAATTTGCATTACTTGTGTGTGAGTACCTTTTAATATATATAAAATAAAAATGTTTCTTCGTAAAATTTACATACAATAATTGTTGATAGTTTTATCTGTAATATGAGAAATATAAATCACTATGTCAATTAAATATTATTTAAGGTGATTAAATTCGTATTATTACGTGGCAAAAACCTTTTTAAATTTTCTCGAGTTATGTTTTATATTTTGGTGATAAAGGAAAGAAGAACAAATGAAGGAAAATAGCGGAAGGTACGAATTTCATTTTTATTGCGAATGGGTTGCCTTCGCTTTTAACGATTTACGATGGGGATTTCTTAGGATTGTGTGAAATAACAGTTCTTCGAGGTAGTCGTTGATTCTTATTAAATGTTAGGAATCACGAAATACCGACGATTAAATAATATATTCGAAGCATGTTAAACCATAAACTTTAATGGGTTTTAACTTTAAACGTGGCAAACTTTCCAACTAAAATGTTACCCATATTTTTTTTCTTATTTCGTTAATAGCTTCATTTAAAAAATAAATTTATGAACATGAGTTATCTAATTTTTATAAAAAAAAAATATTAGAAAAAAATATACATAATGTTTATGAAATAAAAAATAACACGCATATTATTTTATATTTATTTTTTATTCCAAATTAGACATCTGGTATATATTTTTTAGAATTCATTACGAAAATATGATTTTGTTTCTCAGATTCGTATAAAAATATCGATTATTTCTTCACACGTGGATCTATGACTGATTACAAATAGGTGAGATCTAAAAAAACAAAAATAAAAAAAAAATAGGTAAGAAATTGTAATAGTAAGGATAAAAATAAAAAAATACATTGAAAAGAAAAATGGAAACTATCGACATATCGATTTTGGGATTACCTATAGTACCCATCAAGAATAACGAGTCGTATAAATTTTCGTTCTCGATCTAAAGTCAACCATTAGTTTATTTAGGTTAGGTTTTAATTTTGAAAATAGGTCAGGTGTGAAATACACGATGGCGAATAAAATTAGAGACAACTCTTTTCTCATCAAAATGGATATTCATGAAATTTACTGATAGGTACAATACATACTTATATTATTAGCTATATATAACATGATGCATCATGGATCATTGATAATCATATACACATACTTAAGTATATTTTTCATCGTTTATATACTCATATGTATTATATATTTAAGTATGTATTATACATTCCACGTACGAGTGCATGAAACAATCGGACACGTATTTATAGTTAATAGACAGCTTTAATTAAGCTTTGATGAATATTGCAAGTGAGAGTGAATGAGAAAAAATTAGATAAAAACATCATTGAAAATAGTATGATCAATAATATGTTATTGACACAAAAATGATTCATTAAATCAGATAGATTATAAAAAAAAAATGTTTAAATATAATTAAATATATTCAAATAAATTGGTCGACAAGTTTTGAGCCTAAAAAAATAGAAAATTCATTTTCATTTTTCAACATAACCTTAAAACATTGAGAAAAGAATAAGGGGTAAAAATTTTCAATCTCCACTACGTTATAATATTATAATAATAGTGTAAGGAAAGAAAAATAATTATTATAAATATAATTAATGAAATTGTATTAAAAACAATAATATTTTATATATATATATATATATTTGTATATAATAATAAATATTTTTCAAATACTGCATATACTAATAAAAATTAATTATTAATATTTAATCAAATAATTATGAATATTATTTATAATTGTTTATTAAAGAATATTTGTTTCTTTGATTTATAAAATGACTGACATAAGACGATTAGTATAGTCTAATTCGTTGGATATAGACAGGAAATAAAGAAGAGGCATAGAGAAATCTCGGAAAGTAATCGCGTTATAACAGAACATTTATTTTCCATTAGAATAGGCAAGATAAACGATAGAACATCGACGTATAATCGGATCGTTCCTTCGTTCGTTCGTTTGTCTGTGAATAAACCGGTTTCTACGATTCCATTCTTCCGTATCGATAACTATCGACATATACATATATAGATATATATGTATGTATCGGATAGCACAATATAATAAAGAAAATAAAAAAATGTACAATTTTCTCAAACAGCTCATTATAGATAATAAATTTAATTAAAACAAAAATCTTTTGTGATTACTTTACTATCGTTAAAAAATACCTACTAAATTTTATATTTTTAAATTGAAAAAATAAGTACACACACACTCATATGCATACACTAAATTTCAAATCAAAGTATATTAAATAAATCAAATATATTTCGCAGAGATTAGATTTGAAATGTTAAACGTATTATTATAATATGTTTAAACCAAAATTATAACGTCTGTTCCTAACACAATAAATAGAAGGAATATTTGATTGTTTGAACATCTAATTCTTAATAATATGTTTGCTTTCAAAGGCTCGTATTTCTATTAAAGCAACCCCATACATCATCTACCACTTCTCTCCTAAAATCAGAAATTATTGCTGCTGTTCTAATCGTAAGCTTCTTGGTTCGTCTCTCTCTCTCTCTCTCTTTCTCTCTATATCTCATACTGTTTCTAGGCGACCTACCCAAGACGCAATCAAAATACGATTACGCGTTGTAATTAAGCCTCGAGTGCTGAGATAAACTCGATTCCTGACGAAGAGGGTTTATGCCTTCGGCCTTCGGGAGCGCGTGTATGCGAACAGTTGACGGGATTTCGAGATAACTAAGGCTTGATAGTATCATTCTAAGCTTCCTTAGAATATTAGCACTGAATTACATTAACGTTACTCTATTTCTTATTTAATAATATTACTTTATCGTCATTATTTTTCTACCTGCTCCCCAAATCCTTCCAATCCTCTCCTTCTCCCACAGATATTTTTTAATTGAAATTTTTTCAAAATAAAGTAATAATTATATCTCAATTATTTCATAAATTATATACGTTGAAATATAGTATATAAAAAATGTAAATTCATATAAATTATTATACTATTTGGATAATAAAAATAACATAAAGGGATACATAAAAAGAGATAGATATATTGTCACGAAACAGTTAAATGCAATTGGAGGTAGAACAACTAAACCGGAAGAAAGTTCTTCAAGGTTGAACATTAAAAGACAAAAGGATTTCTCAGTTCATCGATGACACATTCACATAACAAAAGCTAATGTTAAACTCTTACAAATATAATGCTTGCCCTTTTAAATCATGTTACAAAACTTTCCATGACTTCTTCCATTCTCTTCTTCTTCCTCTTCCTCCTAACAACCTCCATCCTTTATCCAACATTCTCTTTCGAAGATGAGACTCGAAAACTCATTCTATTTCAGATTAAAGTAATTAACGTAATTTACGAGAGTTAAATGATCTAAGCTTCGAAGAAGAAGAATTTCAGAAACAAATCTTTTCTCTTCGTTAAAAAAAAAAAAAATAAATAAATAAAAAAAATATTATTAGAAATTATAATCAATCCTTAGAATTAATCGACTATCGATTACGCGTTGTCATATAAAAAATAATGTAAATATATATATGTGTGTGTGTGTGTGTATATATATTTTTTTGTTTTGTTTCAAGTGAATCGAAAGTTTATGAGCGATTTCAAAAAAAAAAAATCAATGACTCTCTTTTTCTAGAGCTTTTCTGGATGTTAGTTAATTTAAACTTACAAACGATGCTTGTTACTTTTTAATTTGAAAAAAAAAAAGAAAAAAAAAAGAGATTTTTAAGCCTAAAGAGACTCGAAAGAGAGTAATTGATTTTTTTGAAAATTGTCTAGGAACTTTTTGTGGCCCACTTTGAACTTCTGTCCACTACTGTTTTGTCCTTTCAATACGTCAAAAGCTTTCTTTCTCTCTCTCTCTCTCTCTCTCTCTCTCTCTCTCTCTCTCTCTTTCACTATTGGCAACACGATGAAACTACGGAAAATGTATTGTACGATCGAGTATATACACACACTTTGAAAATTTTCGATGCAATGACCCGTGCCCTTTTGTTTCGAGAAGTACCCTTTCGAGTTATCGATCGACACAAAATATTTTCCCCGCAAAAAAAGGACTGAAGGGTTCTTCGTTCATTTGTTTATTTGCTTTTTTGTTTTTTTGTTTTAAATCATTTTTTTTTTTTTTTAAGGAGAAATTTTCTAATTGCTAGACGAATAATAGTAATTACTTGGAGGAGAACTTTGAGGAAACCTCATTCATTATTATTATTTATTAATTATTTATTATATTTAAAAAAAAACATATTACGACACGTGTATTTTTAGGATTATTTTTATGAATATTATAAATTTACTCTCGTAATAATTTAAAAAAAATTTTTTTCAAATAAAGTCAATATTATTATATAAACGAAAACTATTAATTCGATATTTTATAGATTTATTATATTAAAAATAATTCTCATCAACTATCGCAAAATCGTTCATTGAAATAAAAACAGAAAGAAGGAGAACAAAAAGATAAATAAACAATTGGGGTTGCTCGGAAAGTAATTTCGTTTTTTCCTGACATAATAAAAACATTAGTTGATGCAAACCGGTGAATAACAATACCTAAGATCGGTGAGAGGTTAAATTTAGCAGATTTAATATTTTAAAGCCAACTTATGAAAAGACCTAGGTTTAATCTCGAAGTCAAAATTATCTTCATTTTCACAAAAGAAAAACAAAATTACTTTTCGAACAACTTAATAAATTGTACGATCAAAAATATATGGTACTGTAATAACAATTCACTGAATCATAGGTAACCCTTTGACTGCCACGTCAAAATCATATGTTTTATCTAGTACGCCACGACATTATTTT